TACTACTACTACTACTACTACTACTACTACTACTACTACTACTACTACTACTATAGTATAACTATTATTATTACATTTATTATTACAATTACTATATTTACCTCTGGCAATCTTGACAGCCACGGTGGTCATGTCAGAACAGCGGCAGATACCAGACGCCTGGGCTTGAAGGACGCAGCCAAACGCTCCCTCACCCAGCTTGGCTCCTGGACAAAATAAATCAAAACAAAATAAATCAGAACAAAACAAAACCTCTATAGCATTGCGCTTACCACAAAAAGTTGATCTCAATATTACTTACATCTCCAGCCCCAATCGACCGTAACCTTAACCATATCCCTTAACCCTAACCCAAGGACCCTATTGTATAATCTCCTTTCCCTAACCCTAACTCTAATCCTAACCCTAATCCTAAACCTATAACCCAAACCCTAACCCAAACCCTAACCCAAACCCTAACCCAAACCCTAACCTTAACCCGAGCCTTAACCTTTACCCTAACCCTGACCTCGTACTATACACTAAATGTAAATTGCTGTTGCTTTTACAACAAATTTTTTATCATCAAATTTTAAACCATTTAATCCCATCATTGACCAAATTCAAGTCGTGATGCGAACTTTTTTGTGGATGCATCCTACTTGTGTTTCGCTCGCTCATGTTACTTTATACAGTTGCGAGAATGGCGTAAAACTAAACGAAACTAAACTAAACTAAACTAAAGCGTGCTATACAAAAACGATTTTGATGATGATGGTGATGATGATGATGATGATGATGATGATGATGATGATGATGATAATGATGATGATGATGATGATGATGATGATGATGATATCACAATTACTGTTGACTCAGCGATGAGGCGGACTTTAGCCCTTCAGCCACTGTCAAGTAGCCCTAATCTCAAGTGACCCAGCTAAGAAAAGAATACAGCCTGCACAACTCAACGAACAAACAAACAAACAAACAAACATGCAGACAAACAGGGAACACTAACCGAAGCTCAGCTGCTCCAGGGGGAACTCCCAACGATCACATGACTGGGTGACGTCAGCAGTGGGCGTGGCATCGACGAGGCGGCGAGGGCTCTGGTCAGTGAGAGCGTGATGACTCATCCTGGACAGTGAGGAGCTCATGTAAGGGGCATAACCCGCGTAGTCTATGTCAGACCTCAGCGGGGTCAGCACCTGGTCCTGTAAAACAAAAGGCAGAGGTCGGTCAGCTGTCTCTCTCT